CTTGCGATGGTAAGTTCCATGCATTATGAATTAAGGATTTAAAATTTGGGAGTAAACTTTCGTAATTCTTATATAAGAATATGCACCTATACTTGACACTACTGCCTGGAGATATAATAATACAAGAATAATATGAGGTAGAATTTTCCAAAGCTTTAAAAGAAGAGCATTGATAAGTAGAAAAACATTAAATATTTTCAAAAGCTCTATCCAAAAGGTACCAAATGGGACTGTTTATTTGTTGGTTGAACCAACTTCAAAGACACAATAATTGAAATCAACAAACTTTTAGGGGATAGGGGGCAAACTTCCACTTCATCATAGGTTTTAAGAATATAATTGAAATCCTTAACAACAATTTAAGGGTTCAAAATGAGATAATTAATATTTTTTAAAAAATTTGCAAATATCATATACGAAAGTAACGTAAAATTTAGAAGATGAAGAATAAGAGAATATCATGTATATAGTGACATTTCAAGTCAAAAACAAAGAAAACAACCGAAGATGGGTTCCATTTTACTCAGTTGTGCCCCAAAACTCTAATGTGAAAGTTATGAACAAAATGTTCATTAGGAAAAAATGAGTGCTGATCGGGGCGGGGGGATAGAGAGTATTCATTGAAATTTTAGTCTCCAGCAGACATAACATGTCTAGCTTAAAATCCTTAGAAATTTTTTGACGATCAATGACCCTAATGTCACTGTTAAAACTCCTGACATTCCATGCAACAATGGAGGGAGATAACATGAGAATTGGTGTGAAGAGTTGGTAGCACCCTTGGGTCTACCTTTCTTTGGTTTGGTTGAATGGGGAATGGAGGAGGTTGACGGTTGTGGGTTTGGAGGAGTGAGGCTAAGGAGGGTATCAAACTGAGGGTCAATCAAGAAAAGGGCGGAGGGGGGGTGGCGGTGCGGTGGTGTTGCGGGGGAACGCGTAACAAGTTATTTGGAAAAGAAATATCGGTTGGGGGAGAGGATATAGGTTGGTTTGAGGGAGGGAAGACATTTGAAGGGGGAGCATGGACATTAACGTCTGTAGGAAGAGGGGGGAGTTAATTTGCAAAGAATGAGCATAGATAAAGAGGGCAAAGAAGAATGCAAGGGGCTTGAGAAAATTTTGCTTTTTTGAAGGGGAGAACGAAACTGTTTCGAGAACAACTTTAACCTTGAGAGAGGGAGATATGGGGTTCAAAAAATCAAGATATTTGGAGCTAAAGAATCTCCCACTTCATCTTCAGATTCTTTCATTTTCTACATGCTCACTCTTCCCTCGCTCTCCTATGATATTGGATTCTAAAGTGTCATGGTCTGTCTTTAGCATTACTAAAATCTTCTCTATGGAAGAGATTCAAATCCTCGTCTTTGGGTCCCATTCGACTCTCCCAATCCCGGTCGTGAGTAATCTTTCATTGAATTTCATCCTCAATATCTACAAGCCTCCACTGAAGTTGAAAAATCTCTCATTGTATTTTCTCCTGGGTAGGCTCAGGCATATCTACTTAGTGGCAAGGATAGGGCTTAGGGTTGAGATGTGAAATAGGGTAAAAATAATTGGTTTAAGGTTGTTGATTTTCAATGATTTTGAAAACCAGCAAAGTGAAATTAGGTTTAGGGATATATGGTAGTGGAAGGGATATTTGGTGATAGGAAAGAAATTTTTTGGGTTATGGCGAATGCTAAGAAACCCTACGATAGGACTATGGTTTATCTAGATCTGATGTCAAATGATATCGCAGCAAGCCCACACCACCACGAAAAAGCACAACTATTATTACAGAATTCAAAAGTTTACAAACAATACATGAAATAAATGACAACAAACATAAAATACACCCTAAGGAAATGACATAAGAGAGGGGATGGCGAACGACCAGTAGGTAGAAGACTGGTTTGGTGAAGACGACAATAATATGACTGGTTGGAAGGGAACTATCATTGACTGGATATGGTGGAGTGGGTTGCGGCAGCTAGAGAAGTGGGGATGAGTTGTTGCAATGACTGGAAGGATTCGAAGTAGGTGATTGAGTCACTGACAGAATAGGAAGAAGCCTTGCAGTCTGTCTGGTAAGTGGAGGAGGTTTCCGACCTTATGGAGTAGAGAAGGAGGTTTGGCGGGTTGTTGGAAGGTAACACGAAGGGGTCGCCAGCAGCAAGAAGGGGTCGCCAGCAACAGAAAGGGGTCATAAGGGGCTTATAGAGTTGTTGGGAGGTAACCGGAGGTCCAGGTGGCAGTCGAGATAGCCCTGGAGGCTTGTACGATGGCTTGTGACTGCTAGAAGGGAACTGGTAAGCAGAGAGAAGCATAAAACAACATAATAAGGTGATGTTGCGGGCAACTCGAAAAGGTATGACAGAAGAGAGTGATGTGGGAGGATGTGGAAGGGAATTAGAGAGAGATAAGCACCACCTCGAGAGAGACAGACAACCGGAGTACCACCCAATCCCTCGAAGAAGAAACAGACGTCGATGGGATTCCTGACAAAAATCTAAAAGAAAAACACACAATAATCTGAAGTCTAAGCAAATAAACCACAAATGTATAATGAAACATAGTAAATAAAATAGGTAGGAAAATAGAAATAGGAAAATGATATAAAATGAAGGAGCTAGACAAAGAAAGTGATGAAAAGGAAGGGCTAGACAAGGAAGGAATCAAATGGGTGGGCCGCAGTATTGCGACAACTACACTATTGCGACTCGATAAGCCCCGATAAGCTCTTACGTCAAATTAATAGAAGATTCGTTGAAAGGGAGGCCAGAATCTTAAAATATCTTGACATTAAGAACCTCAAGGTGTGTAATCAATCTAACCATGTGAACCAATACAGTGTCAAACCATTGAAAATATGTTAGCAAATTTTGATATTAATATAATACACTATCAAATTCAAATATTAGGATCTCCAATCTAAACTAAAATTTTAGAACTATACTTTTCCCATAGAAAAAGTTTTTTTAATACTTTTTAAAAACATTAAATTACCTCTTCGTTTTAATTTAAGAGCTTATTTTGGTTATTATTTTTTTTTTAAATTTTTTTAAAAACAAATACATTTGTTTAACATTTGTATACATTATTTATTTTTACTTATTAAAAACAAATATTTTTTTTGTTTAAATTAATTTAAAGGTTTTCAATATTAAAAAAAAATAGTAAGCCCGGCCTTCAAGATAAATATATATAATACTAAGTTATTAAATATATTTTATTTTGCATCTAAATCTAAAATAAAAATAAAAATAAACAATGAAATTTACATACCTAAATTCCTATGTATTCATGTCTAACACCTAAAAATTGATATTTATATTTATAACATTTTTGTATCATAAACCTATGTAATACAAATAGTTGTATTTTACTTCTAAATAATTTATTATTGTGGTACTTACAATGTGATATTAAATATTTGAGCATTATGCACCCAAATAAAAACGTCGCTATATTAAAATAGTCTATTAAGATACATGAAGCAATTGCTGCATTTTGAAAATAAAAGCTTGGGTGATCGATTCCTCTACTCTTCTTGCAATTGCTGTGCCAAAATACACGTCGCTATGTTCCCTCTTTCTTCCTCATATCCCCCCTAAGTTTCGTTTAGGGCTGTAAACGAGCCGAGCTTGAGCGAGCTCAGGCTTGGCTCGTGTTCGGCTCGTTCGAAATAGCTCGTGTTCGAAATCGGCTCGTGTTCGAAATCGGCTCGTGAACAGTGTGTTCGTGTTCGGTTCGATTTAAATATTTGTGTTCGTGTTCGGCTCGTGTTCGGCTCGAAATTGGCTCGTTAATCTAAAATTAAGAAAAATAGATGTAATGTGTGGGATTCGAACCTGGATCAAATCTATACAAAAAAAAGACACTAACCACATTGCTACATGAGGCGTTATGATTTAAATTTAGACATAAATATATATAATATATTATTATATAAATAATATATGTAATATATTGTTATATAAAAAATTATATATATATATTTTTTTATCGAGCCATTTCGAGTTCGTGTTCGGCTCGTTTACATTTCGAGCTTAAAAAATTGTTCGTGGTCGGGCTCGTTAGGCTTAACGAACGAGCCGAACACGAGCTGCTTAACGAGCCGAACATGAGCTGTTCACGAACAACGAGCCAAATTGACAGCCCTATATACGTTTCGGCAACTTTAATAGCGAATTCACAATCATTCTGCTGCAATTTTCTGAGCAACAGAATTCGTATAAAAACAGTTTCCAAAGGCCCACAAATCAGAAGCAGCCATACACGTTTCATAAGTGCTTTTTCTTCGTGGAATCACGATCATATTCATTCTGTTGCATTATTCCATAGCATTTCAATTACTTGAGAAAAATATAATATGTCCATTTACAAGACCTCCAAACTTCAATCAGGATGTCATCAGCCAAAGCATACTTCAAATGTTTAATTTGTAATACAGGTATTATTTATTTTCCCTATATGTTATGTTGGTTTTGATAGACCTTATCTCTGTTAAATATTGCAGACAGAAGTACAAAAATGAAAAAGATGAAAAATAAGATTCAATGCTAGTCACATCGTACAAAAGTGGAGATGACAAGTCCTTAAACCGAAAGAAAACCGTACCATGAACTTCTCTCATATAAATAAGTCAAGTGAGATATTTCATATGGGGAAGAGCAATCAATTGCTAAATCCAAAAGCAGAAAGCCGTAATATTATAATAATAATAAAAGCTTAAAAAAGATGGCAGTGCTATATCTAAACTCATTTTAATCACAAACTTTTGGAACAGTTTCGATGAGGACATTGAAGTGTAACACAACTTTGAGGTTCTATATGTGCCATGTATTACTGGAATTTGTTTGAAATTTTAAGTACAAGATGGCTTCAATTTGTTCAATTTTATATTTGTTGTTTAAAAAGAGATACCGCAGGAAGACTATGAGGGTACAGACTATACTTCAATCATCAAAATTTCAATGAAATAAGATAAGGCTCACTGAGGAAGAAAAGAGACCCAAAAATTCAGGAGATAAAACCGCCAACAATATGTATTAATCTTAAGAAGTTGCGAGTTTTCGTTTTACACAAAGGCTAAACACAAGTAGTTTCATACTTTAAAAAAGGCAGACATTTTTTATTCGTACAAACCAAACCTTTATAGCCAAAGATGGGTAATATTTATATATATCAACCCAGATAACATTCAGTTGTCTCTAGTAGTGTTCTTGATCCATTCAAGGTACTTCACATTACCGCCATTGATTGGCAACGCAATTACTTCAGGAACACTGCGAGTAATAAAGCGGAATAAATATTTCTACTTTTCTTTTGATGTGTTCCAAGTTTCTAACAAAATGCACTTAAGATATCAATCCTTGACAGTGATAACGAATTTAAAGGATCTTACTCGTATTCATGGTTAGCTTTGACGTGCTCGGTCAAAGAATTTAGAAGAGATTCTCTGGTCTTAATGATGAGCAGTTCTTCAGAATCTGTTTGTACCTGTAAACAAAAGATAATGGTGGGAATCAGTTCGCATATCCAGTTTCCCGGTTATTAAGAAAGTGCTTGGACAAGAGAGAAAATTAGGGAAATTTTTATAACGAATCTAAATTTAGTCAATTTTATTTTGATTTATGAATTTGCATATCTAACACCTAAATTTTTCTTTTTGCATTTAAACCACTCAAATCTTTTATATCGCATTTTAAAAAAGTACCATTTTAACTTCTAAAAAGTGAAATATACATTTTTATGCATAGGTAAGGTGGTATGTATTAAAAAAATTGAAGTTTAGGTGTTAGATATGTAAACACATAAGAATTGAGTGTTATTAATGTAAATCTTCCTACATTTATTTTGATTGTACAATACAAAAAGATATCAATCAAAATTTATATTAAACTGATTCCAAAGCAAATTTAATAAATTTGAAACCACATTGATAAAAAATTTGAACAGGATATCCATTTTTTTCCCCAAAATTTATTGCCCAGACCCCATGGTATAACCAAGCTGGGACAGAAAATAAATGCCATAGGAAATCGTGTTGTGTACCTTGCCATCCCACCAATAAATAGATTGAATTCCTGCAACCACAAATCAATGTCAGACTTGAGAGTAAATGAAGAAAAAATTAAAATAGAGAAAATAAGGATGAAATTTGTCGATACTATTTCCGTAGTTACTGTACTTGCAGCTTTCAACTATGTGAAGGAACACGAAACAATCAAACGGGAATGTCGTTCACACGGTAGAGGCAAGACAGTCCCAACATTAAATATTTACAAACAAAGCACATAGCTAATGCCTTCTATATACTCCCAACTACTTTTGCACGGTTTCATGCCCAACTAAAAGTCAAATTTGTGCCACTATAATACAGCTTGGATTGCATTTAACGCAAACATAAAGGCCAGCTAATCAGTTCCCTAGCACAATTCCAGATAACAAGATGGCTTATGTGCAGTAAAATTATGCTTTTTAGCTTAAAGCGGTTTATATTAAACAATAGTATTATTAGAATGTCAAAGCCCCCTTATGCTTATTTTTCAGTTTATTTTTCTTCCCAGTTATGCAAGATGGCTTCTTCTCAGACTTTAATCCAATTCTGAATCTGATAAAATATAAAATATCTCATCAAGTGCTATTTTAGTTTTTTTTTTTAAATTCAAATCATCATCATCAATAGTCTGGTCTTTACCTATTTGCATCTAGCTTTATCCATCCTCCACCATTCATTCCTCTATTGTTTTAGATTAATTCTATAAAATATTTTTATTTCTATCTTTAGCTCGCAATAGTATATATTTAAATGATCTAAATCTATTGTCTATTATATTTTTAATAAAAAATTGCTCTCGCAGTATCTCAATGTAAAAATTTGTCACAATCATTTTCTACTTCAAATATGTCCATCTTCAGTCTCATTTATACCAAAGGCCAAATTAGGTTGTTGACGACATCTTCATTGCCAAGCTCTCAAATCCATATAGCATAATTAGCCTAATTGTCATTTCATAAAATTTACCTTCAATTCTAAGATTATCTTTACCTATGAGGCAAAACTTCAACTATAAAATTTATACCCTCGCCATTATCCCCACTTTTATCAAGGATGGATTCAATGTGATAAAACTTAACACGCATAGGTATCACCAGATTTTCTAGCAAGATTAAGTGATATTCTAGCAATATAGACCGATAATTGTCACTTTTACATTCCTTATCAGGTGCTTCATTTTCATTTCAACCAAATAGGTGCATCAAAGTAATATTTTTACCATCACCAATATTTCCAATTTGATGTTGAACTAATGAACCAAATTCTAGTAAAATGTGCATTTAGTATCAAAAAATTTAGGGTGTGTTTGGAGCAGCTTGTGTTTATCCAAATAAACAGTTTATCCTGAAACACGGCCAGCGGGTGCCCGCGGATTCGATCCGCGGTCTGCATTTAGTGTAAAAACTCAACAGGGTTTTCGGATAAGCTACTAAAACATGTTTTCCAAACGGCGGCATTTAATGTAAAAACTCAACAGCATTTTTGGATAAGCTACTAAAACGTGTTTTCCAAACGGTGAGGCGGCGATTTGAATCCTCGCAAGTTAAACATCTTGTTCATCACGACCACCATCTTTAGTCGTATCCCAATATTTTGAAACTGCTTTAATTATTACAATTTTCATTTGTACCTATTGAGAGGCATTAAAAGCAATACTTTGCAAAGCTTTTTGAACAAATTTTATCCAAGATATAATTGGTCCAATCACTTTTCCGTAAAAATCCCTCAACATTAATTTAAATTTGCCAATTGGGTGTATTTTTTCACCATTTGATATACACATACAAACCGCCAAAATCTAACTTTTTAGAAACCTTATCTTCAAAGCATCCGTTTAAAATAACAATTTTTTTAATTTATCCTTCTTAATTTTGCACACATGAGATCTAGCACTTTCATTTCCATCACTCAAATTGGATATCAATGATTTTTCTAATGATTTGTCAAGACCCTAGCTCCCTGTATGAGCCATTGAGCCCGATAAAGATCTTCAAAGCTTCAGGATCTAACTTTCCCAAAAGCTCCATTTCTTTACCAACAACACCCTCCCAACACCGGAGCCTGTGCTGAAGTTCAGGCTCACTATTTCCAAATTGGAAGATCGGCTAAGAAGAGCTATCTTATCACCCTTTGAGCTTCAGGATCTTCCATATCTTTTGTAAGGGTTGTGATGACCTTTATGACAACAATCAAACACAACCCTTTGAGCTTAGCCATGAGCCTGTGCTAAAGTTCAGGCTCACTATTTTTTATGACCCTTTGAGCTTCAGGATCTTCGATATCTTTTGTAAGGGTTGTGATGACCTTTATGACAACAATCAAACACAACCCTTTGAGCTTAGCCATGAGTCTGTGCTACGATGCTCTGTTTTTCGTAATCCCATATGCAGCGGATACTCTAGGTCGATCTCGTCGTACTAGACCGCTAGGGTTGGGCTCTGATACCAAATTGAAAGAATTTGCTCAAAATCTTAATATATTCATGGAAGAATTTGACTTATATAGAGCCCTACAACTTTCTTTACAAATAAAACCATTGACTTCTTCTATATTTCATATCTACAAATAAGACCCTAAACTATATACAATTCTCAACAAATATATTACTCTGAAATCCACCATCAATATTTCACGTATACTCATCATTTAGAATAGTTTCAAGAAAAGGATATAATAAAATATATGACAAAGAATTGGATGTAGATTTACAAGAAAGATGAAGAAAAATGCTAGAATCTAAGAAATTGCCTGTAGGCTTATAAAAGAAGGTCAAAGCAAGCATTGAAAACTGGACTTATTAATTGAAAAAAGTGCTAAAAAAAATTCTAGACTAGACTATTTACATGGGACCATTTAATTCCAGTCTATAATTGTCAAATTAGTCCCTGGATATTTTCAATATGAGCTGAGATAATCCTCGGGAGATATTATTTTAGCCCCCAATAAAAGAGTTTGGGAACTAAATTGACTGTTTTATACTTTGGGACTAAAATAACTCTCTGCAAACAGCCAGGAAACAGCCAGGAGACTATTTTAACAATTTTATCACTTTTAATTTACAAGTATAAATTTCAATGTGCTGCACAGTTTAATGAAATAGTAAAATTTCCAGATGGATACCATTATATTTAAATGCACCGTTATCTTTATTATTAAATTAAAATTTCACATATCGTTTGTACAGGTCAACAAAAAACTTTTAATTGCGATAGTTAAATCGCTAGAGTTGAGTGAATATCCTCATATAAATCATGCATTTATTATGCAGATGTGTTAGACTAAGGTTATATAAGTAAATCAATAACATCGATAATTTTTCGAAATTAATATTATGTAACAATCTTAAATTGACTGATGCCAGTAAACCTATGATAGATAAATAGAATACAAACTTAGTCATAAAAGTATCATTTCACATCAACTGCATGATCTATCTTATCAAACGACGCAACAACTTTCCTAAAATTCATTAACTTTAATTTTTAAATGATAAGCAGTTAAAATTTATAGTTATATTACCATTTTTTAAAGAACTTTTCATAAGTAGCTTGTAAATTAAATCTCAATTAGAAAAAAAAATTATTTTAAGCAATCGATTTACTTTTAAAACTACATTAAAATAAAACCTAGCAATATGGGATTCATCCACAATTTAATGGCATTGTAAGAAATGTAATTTTTTTTTAATGTAATAAAGCATTATAAAATTCGAATATGTTTCCCCTATATATAAGGTAATCCAAAAACAAATTATATACTAAAATAATCACAAGGTATTGGAAAGATACATACAACTATATGTCAAGTTTTCTACTTTTTACTGAAGACCAAGTCCTACTTTGTAAAATAATTTATGTAGCATCTTTCAAGACTAGGCAAAATATATCTATTTTCAATCATTATAATAATTTAGCAGCATCCCCAATACATAATTCTAAAATAAAAATCTCTAAATGATTAATCATGAAAACAAAAATACACTATCTTTAAATTAATAGCCATTTTTAAATACGTAACTTTTGTTAAGAAAATATGAGTCATTATTTAAGTTTAATTAAATCCCACCAAAATTTCTTACAAGCCACGTTCTGCTCTTCCATATGATCAAACATGGTTATAGCACAAATTTTAAGCACATGCATGTTTATTGTCAATTATAGCACAATTTTTAAGGTCCAAAAAAAAATTCTATAAAAACTCAGCCATCTAGCATGTCCGTTTCTCAACTTCTTTTGAGAATTTGGATATTTTAAAAATTAATCAAAATAAACATAAATTTTGTAGGTTAATAGACCTGATATCAAAGACCTTGCATAATAATTTGAGATTTTGTTAATTCTCAATCAAATTTTCACTAAAAAATATATATATGATAGTACGTCCCGTTTAGCTAACACTCCCATAACACCCATCACAGAAGTAATCTCAAATGCACTACTAAAATCAAGCAACTCAAGTATAAATACATTGATAAGTCTTTTTTTTATTCAAAATTTCAATATTGAACTCAGATGAACAACGACCACCCTTTAAAGTAAATCCTTTAATAACTAAATAATAACAACCACAATTCCATCACTCGCTAATCTCATCCAAGAATCAGACGGTAATCATAACTAGGAGCCATTTGTAATCCTATTGGAAGAATTACGAGAACATAAGAATTACAGGCCATTTGTAGAAATAGAATCAAAAGCCAACCCTACCTCCAAAAAATTATACCTCTTTTTTTTTTCTATCGCATAATAAGTATTAAGGGCGTAAATAGAATGCAGCATAATTAAAATATAGTGTGCTTGAAATACTTTAGAGTTGTTTGATTATATCTAAAATAAATGCAAGATATCACTTTTTTTTTATTTGATTTGAAGTAAAATTAAATCAATAAAAAACCTATCTGTGACAGTAGGAGGTAACCAGTGAGTGAAGGATCCTCAGCGGGCGGGAGCGATAACGAGTGTCCAACAATGGGCAGCAACAAGGCTTGCAATCTATTTGAAATTTGATCAAATCTAATGAGGTTTAAACACACCAGAATTGAACTAGAGAGTGAGCTTGGAATATATCAAAACTTTACTCTGTATTCCATTCCTTCAAACCAAAAATTGAACCTCTTGAAATCCCTTCATTCTAAATGCAGTACACCTCTATTTCATACTACCAAATAACCCCTAAATGCCTACTAACACCATATCATATACCCTAATTTATATCTTATTCATTGATATAATAAAATCCAAGATAGTGTAACTTAATATACGTGGGTATCACTTTATTTTTCAATAATATTGATTGATAATAATTAATATATTACATACTAAATTTAATATCATATGATATTTTACTATTCCATTGATATTAAAACATATAGCCCCTAAAGATTTTCCCATCGCCAAACTTTGAACTTATCTGATATTATATTTGAAAGATACTCGTAATGGCACATCATTTTAAATATCTTTCATAAGTATCAAACCAAACAAAAAGATATAGACTCAATATTGATATTTGATACAATCCTACTATTATTGAATTTTTTTCATTCCAGAACTACTTCGAATACTAACAAGTGTTGCAACATATATCTTTAACAACATTGAACATTATCTTTAGCATATGATTTTATTTTTTAATTCACATTTAATCAATTCTCATCAAGCCTTCTGAAAGTCAAAAAAATAATGTAATCTATATGAAGTTATTTCACAGCGTTCAGTATTTATCAGTAAATGTTTTAAAAGGTCTTCTTGCCATGAAAAAAAAATTGTCATTGAAGCTGAAATTATATTTTTAAGGTAACATTGCATAACTCTCTTATTCACTCCTCCATCCAGCGACCCCCCCCCCCCCCCCAACTTTGAATCCTTCACAAGTGACACAATATATTAGTAACTTAAATTACCTATCGGTGAAGCTTCAAATAAGGAAAAACTAAAAACTGAACAGTTGCTGCATTGAAAGTTGAACGATAGAAGGCAGTCTGTACATTTAATTCAATCAAAGCAAATTCAATGAAATGCTAGCATTGAAATGAAAAAACACCTAATGCCACATTTTTAGAATATAAAAAAGCATGCCTCCGTTGAATCTATCCTACTATCCGTTTAAGGCTTTCAACGACACTAATATCCTTGAGTACAACCTCTTCGGTCAAATGGCTCTTCCAGAAATATCAAAAAGAAATGGACAGAAGCATCCAAATGCAAGAGAAGAAACAGGATAAACAGACAATAGGCAAAGGAATGTCATTGCAAGAACTACAATGGCAAATTGATGCATGTCATAAAAAAAATCAAGAACATACCAGGCACAATGTTGACACAGGCGGCAAGCTTTTCATTTACAATACTCTCAGCAAGTTTTTTCCCTGCAATAAAAAAAGATAACAAAAAGTAAAAAGTATGATAAAAGTTCACAAAAAAAGCAGGAAAATCCCTTATATAGATATATAAGATCGAGCTAAACTCTGTGCCATCTCTGATCAAAATATAAGTATTGCCCACTTGATTAGGTTACACAGAAGATTACTAAAAGAATAAAATCGAAGTTCTATAGTTACTTAAGGTCCATCTCACTGAAAAAACTCTCTCAATTAGGAAGAAATGGTTTGGCTGATAATGTAAGCTACAACAAACTTGACTTGGATTTAAGATGAATGTTTAAGCCGCCAGTGTGTAAAAAAACAAAAAAGGCCGACAAGTAGAAGAAAACAAAGAACAAATCCGTCTGGAGTAAGAGTGGATAATTGTAGATAGATCTTTCTAAATGCACTAAAGATCGCTCATCCAAAGAGCATTGATGAACCGAGAAGCTTTAAGCTTCAAGTGAATGACAATAAAGTTAAAAAAAAAAAAAATCTCTCAAAGCATATGCGTCCATAAACAACAAAATACATGCTCCATGCTTAAATCTCTTGGCAGATAGATGTGCAGATTATTTAAGCGGAACTAGAAAAACAATTGAGAAATTGAAACAATTAAATCTGTGCTTTGAAGGCATCAACTTATGTTCAGTCCAATCTTGCTTTATTTCTTGTATTCCTCAAAATGTAGCTGAATTTACACCATTGTTTGTAACTAAAAAAGAATCAAAATTTTTCTGATGCTAGAATTCCATGAAAAATAATGTCATTGTTTTTATGACAAGGATAATATTGATACATATCAAAAAGCCAAAAACTACTGAGACTAACCTACTTCATGGTTTGGAACGGTAACATAGACAACAATGGAAGGCACGGTGCTAGCAGCAGCCATTCCTGTAGAATGAAGAGCTCCTACGGATGGTTGATTAGCAAATTTTGGTCTGCAAAATTTACAAATTCAACAAATGAGTGAAGTTGAAAATACATCACATTAAAAAAAAGAAATATCTATTATTAGTACGATAAAAATATCCAATGAATGACAGAGTGAGATCACAGCATGATTTTACAGAGCTAAGCCACAAGTGATGGAGACAAAAAAAAAAAACAATTGTCTTGAAGGCCATCTGTTAATATAGATCATCATAACTTGTACAACTAATATCTCAGTTTAGACAAGCGCAAAGACAACCAGAAGAAGAAAACAAGTTGTGCTAGGGGGGAATTCTCTCTATAAGCATTTGTGACAAAACTCGTAGCCCCAACCAAAGTATTTTGAGCCAAATTTATGCATCCCCTTCCTCATTCATTAATGTTAAATGTAGTATTCACGTGTCATTCACCGTTTGCAACAAGCTGGAAAAAAATCAATAAGGATTAAAAAAAAAACATGACAAAATAAAGAAGAAAACATGCGCAAGCAGAAATAGGATAATTTCATTTTCCGTGAAGCTCAGTTTAATAGTTTAATAATTCAGCTGTTCAAGACGTCTTGATGAAGAACATTGATTTATGAGCATTAATTCGTGAGATGCACTTAAGAAACTCTTAAAGCAATGAGTTTAGCAACCTATAATGTCAAATCAATGTACTTGACTATAATCATTCTTAGTAAATTTACACTCAAAATATAAAATAAATTATAATTCAAATGTTTTCTGGTACTATGGGGGCTCCCTCATAATGATGTGTAGAGTGTTATAGGCTTTGCTTAGACAGTAAGTCAAACATCAAAAACAAAGTTATACTAAGAAAACAGCGAGTGCTGGCAACATCTAATAGTGAAGCATCATAACTTGAACAATAAAATGATTTGCAACCCTACTTGCTGAAGATTGGTGTTCTAGTTCTTCCAAGTGGATCTTGATGATGCACCTGAGCAATGCATGTAATGGTTTGTCATTCAAAACTAACCCAGATTGAGGGGTAGACTTCCCAACCTAACTGCCATCTCACAAGGTTACCCGCCATGCTTTGGGATAGTCCTACAAAATGAATCTTTTAAGTGTTGGCAATACCACTAGGATTCACATAATTATGTGGGAAAGACAAATAGCCTTAACAATAGGAAGCCAAGGTTCTGACTGGAATGACTTTTTATATTTCTTTTTCCAAGTATTACTCTTTGATTCTGCCTTGCAAATATTCATTAATTTCTAGCCATTTTTTCCTCAAATCAGTAACTGAATTTATTGTTACCCTATTTTTCCTATGAAGAGGACAACAGATGCAATTGAACTCCTATGTAGGTGCTAGGAGAAGATTGACTGCAGGAGCTTGAGCTGAAGTAGATAGAGGTGCTATGTTGAAGGAGTTCGACAGCTGGATGGATAAGTTTGAATACTGCTGATGAAGAATTTGGCTGCTTACTATGGAAGACGATAAGCATTACATATGACTGGCGCATAACACAAAAAAGAGATGGCTAGTTGTTGAGGTCTTCGGTTGAAAACAACAAGGGAGCGGAGAAGGATAACTATATAAGAACAAAGAGGGGAAGAAACTGCAACATTTGTTCAATTCTCAAAAAATAGTTGTTCACAAAATAGACTCCTAACTCCCTATTTATGTAAGGATAAAAATGACTAGATTCAAATGAAACATTATCTTAAAAAGATAAGAATGCTTGAAAATATTTATTATCCCTAAAACCAAGGAAATAATCTTTTGTGGAACTCAAGGAAGCACAATTGCAAAGCAACTAACCGAATGGATATTAAATGTACTGGAGGCCTGGATCACGTTATCTTTTCACTCCTACAGAGGCATTTTTCCTTCCATGATCATCCTAATATCTATTCTTGTTATGTATCTTTACTGGACTCCTAGAAGATGATTTTAATATTTACTCGTATAGAAGCAGATTTTTTTCGTGCTTGCTGAGGCACAACTTCATGTTTTGGGTGTTCCAGAACTATGCTCTGTTGCAAAAAAACTTTTTTGGTGGACACCCCCTTTCAAATAATGTATTCTCTCCCAATTTTATTAAAAATATATATAATTGATTGCTTCTATAATATATGATATCTATTCCAATAGACATTTTCTAATAATATGTGTAAAATTTTTGGAGGAACCTTCTTAGAGAAAAACATTTTTTTTCGAAAAAGAGAAAAAATCTATAATTTTTCATTTAACTAATAGAAGCAAATAACAAGTATATATACGACTTAGACTAACCCTAATACAATTAGAAGGAAATTCAAAATCATTATGATAAGAAGAAAAGAAATAAAACATAATAAATGATAATTATGGGAGAGAAATTCTCCCCTTCAAATGTAGTAGCTAGCCTACAGTTTCATAAACCATGGGTAAGCCCACGTGGCCCATGATCAACACTCCCCCCTCAAGTTGGGTTGGATTTGTCATGTCAAACGTGTTGTTGAGAATATTGAAGTGGTGTCGAGAAAGAGCATTGGTAAGACTGTCAGCAATCTGATGCTAATTCAAGTACAGCTTAGCTGAACAATCCTACCATTGATCTTCTCAGAGATGAAGGGTCAGTCAATCTTTACATGTTTAGTTCGATCATGAAGTACCGGATTCTTTGAAATACTGATGGTTAATTGACTATCACTGAACATCTTAATAGTGCTTTGGTTCTTCATATTTAGTTCAAGTAGTAGTTTCTTTAGCCACACTCCTTCACAAATTCCTAGGGCCGGGGCACAATACTCAACTTTTGCATTGCTTCTTGCCACCATAGAATACCTTTTATTTCTCCAAGTAACAAGGTTACCACATACAAATGAACGGTAACACATAGTAGATCTTTTCACGGTCAGTTCCCCTGCCCAGCTAGCATCAATACAGCTCTCAATATCATGGTTCCCTTTTTTTTTTTTTTGTGAATATCCATCCACATATTGGATGGATTCATATTTAGGTACCTTAGGATTTGAAAGATCGCTTATAAATGTTCTTCATTTGTATCGTTCATACATTGGCTCGCTAAACCCACAAAAAATACAATGTTAGGCCATGTATGTGACAGATAAATGATTTTCTCCACGAGTCTTTGATACATTCCTTTCTCGACTATAGTGTTATCCTTTCCTTCTGATGCTTTTCGATTGAAATCCATACAAGTATATGTTGGTGTGCATCCCGACAGTCTTGCCTTCTTTAATAATTCAATGATATATTTTCTCTAAGATATGACAATGCCTACTTTGTATCTAGCTACTTCTCAGGAAGTATCTTAAAATTTAAAGATCTTTAATCTCACACTCAAAAGTCATTATTCTTTTGATTATATTAAGTTTCCTTATATCCTTATCTACAAGAATAATGTCATCAACATATACAATAAGGATTGCCATCATAACTTTTTCATTCAATTTCACAAATAATATGTGATCGGCCTGATATTGATGGTACCCATTGGCAAGAATAGTTATGGTGAATTTTTCAACACATACTCTGGGAGATAGTTTCAACCCTTACAATGATTTTTTTAGTTTACATATCAGCTAATTATTTGTGTTGTTCTTTAATCCACAAGGCATCTTCATATATACTTCTTCCTCGAGATCTCCATTTAGAAATGCATTTTTAATGTCTAACTGATATAAAGGTCAATCTCGATTGACACCCAATGACAATAATACTCTTATTGTATTGAGTTTTTACACTAATACAAATATCTCCTAATAGTCAATCTTATAAGAGTAAGTGAACCATTTTCCGACAAGCCCAACCATGAACCTTTTTATACTTTCATTTGCTTTGTATTTAATAGTGATTATCCATTCGCACCCTATTATTCTTTTCTCAGGTTGTAAAGTTGTAATGATCCATATATCATTCTTTTCAATGATAAGCATCTCTTCTTCCGCAATCTTTTTCCAAGCAGGAATAGATAATGCTTTTTTGATGAAATTTAAAACTTGCACATTATCTAAGTTTCGAACAAAATATTTGTAAGAGGATAATAGTTTTTCATAGATCATAAATCCTTCTAAAAGGTATTTGCAGAATTCTTGTACCATTTTAGTGTTCATGATGCATTGACCCAACCTCTTTTAGTGTTCATGATGCATTGACCCAACCTCTATGTGAATATTTGTGGTGTGCGAAGTTGGTTCAGGTGATTTACATTCCTGATTTTACATATTGTCCCTCACATGCTCACTGAATTTCTTCTTTATGGAGTAAACACGGAGTTTTTGGTTCTTGGTGAGAGTTGTGGAAGAATTTGGTGTAGTGGGTTCATTTTCAGGTTGATTTATGATAATGGGGACAAGAGTGAGTTAATTGGAGATATAAGGGAGGTGAGTTCAAGGTTCTTGAATGATAACATAAATCCTATGTTCTCTCCAACTCTTTTCATGAATGTTAAATTTGTGGTAATAATGTTGATTTTTGAAGAAGGTGACATCCATGGAGTTGTAAATTTTGTGGTTTGGGTTGGATTTGAGTTTCTAGAGAGTACATATATACCCTTTTTTTGTTTAAAGAGTATCCCACAAATAAGCAATTGATTAACCTAAGATCATGCTTGGCTTAATATGATTGATGTAGATGAACCAAAAATTTTTTAATGGTAGCTTAGAGGTCGAGGACTGAATATGTGGATATAATTTTATGAGAGTATTTGAAAGGTTTGATAAAGTTTAGCATTCTGTTAGGCATACTATTTATGAGAAGTAAATGTAAGAATTGCATCGCCACAGTAATGTTTTGGCACATTGTTAGTGAATATAATTGATTGGGTCATTACGAAGATGTTTGTAATTTCTCTCAGTTATACAATTTTTGTTGGGAGAGTAAATATAAGAGCTTTATGAATGATGTCATGTTTGGATAGATAAAGGTCAAGAGGAGTTGCAATCTTTTGCATTATCGGATTTGAGAATTTAAATTTTTCTTTGAAATTGGGTGATATCATGTTGTAGAAGATGTCAAATAAGTTTGCAGTTTCAGACTTTTCTTTCAA